AAAAAAAAAAAAAAAAAAAAAAAATTTCACTCAGTGAGTATTTGCCCTGGAAAGAATATGAACTAAGAGGCATAATGTGAAGTTTCCTCAACTGGTCTCAGTTCCTGCCTCCCTATAACTATATTTGATTTTCACTTTATGTATTAACTTTAGAACCTCATCCTTGGGTAAGAAAAAAATCCACCTGCAGATTTCAAAAAAGAATAGCTAGATATGACTCAACCATATTAGCATTTCCCGTCACAACACTAAATTAATACAATATAAACAGGATCAATGTTCTTGGTTTTAGCAATAAGTAAACAGGTAACTGGAAGATGTTTTAGATGCTTTGGTCATACATAACAAAAGCCAAATTAGGGAACAGTACTTCACAGTGAATCTGAAATTCCAACTGAAATAAAACCTGCTTATTTTTTAGTATCTCTGAATTCAATCAGCTACTAAGGTAAGTAAGATGATCTTCTAGGATCTAATCTCTGATCCTCTCCTCTTGTTCTTGATCATTTTCTCAGTATGCTTTTCCACTCTTTTGGTTTTACTTACCTCCTATTCACAAACAACAGTTTTAATTTTAGCTTCCATGTACCAGGTACATGTACCTTATACATGTACCATGTATAAGGAGCTGATTACGTAAGGCTGGCTAAGTTGCTGTTTTTAAATTAGCAGCTTCGGCCGGGTGTGGTGGCTTACGCCAGCAATCCCAGCACTTTGGGAGGCCAAGGCAGGGAGATCACGAGGTCAAAAGATGGAGGCCATCCTGGCCAACATGGTGAAACCCTATCTGTACTAAAAAAATATATAAAAATTAGCCGGGCATGGTGGCTTGGGCCGTAGTCCCAGCTACTTGGGAGACTGAGGCAAGAGAATCACTTGAACCTGGGAAGTGGAGGTTACAGTGAGCCGAGATCAAGCCACCACACTCTAGCCTGACAACAGAGCTGAGACTTCATCTCAAAAAAAAAAAAAAAAAAATTAGCAGCTCCTTGCACCCTAATTTCCTCCTTCCCCAAAGCAACCACTTTTACTTTTAGCTGATTATTTTTGCATTTACCTTGTTAACATAACTTATTTGTATTGCTAGTTTTCAATTTTTATAGTTTAATATAATTTATTTATTTTTGAGACAGGGTCTCACTCTGTCGCTGAGGCTGGAGTGCAGGGGCATCATCTCAGCTTACTGTAACCTCTGCCTCTCTGGCTCAAACGATTCTTGTGCCTCAGCCCCCCTAGTAGCTGGGACCACAGTCATGCACCAGTATGCCTGGGTAATTTCTGTAGAGATGGGGTTTTGCTATGATGCCCAGGCTGGTCTCGAACTCCTGGACTCAAGGGATCCATCTGCCTCTGCCTCCCAAAGTGCTGGTGCTGGGATTATAAGCATGAGCCACTAAGCCAGCTATTTTTCTACTTTTAGCTATTAAAATGTTTGTCTTCCCACCATGGGAGATAAAAATTTAACTCCCTTTCCTGCAACCACCTCAGAGACACACATACAAACACACACCAAGGAAAGATTACATGCCATTCTTAAAAATATAAAAATCCCAAATAAATAATAGCAAAAAGAATCCAGCAATTTGTAAAAAAGGATAATATATCACAGTCAAGTGGTTTTATTTCAGAAATGCAAAATTGGTTGGGCAGATGTGAGGCAGTGTTCCTGCAGTGCCAGTTACTTGGGAGGCTGAGGCAGGAGGATCTCTGGAACCCAGGAGTTCCAGGCTGTGTGCACTATGATGGCAACTGTGAACAGTTACTGTCCTCCAGCCTTGGCAACATAGTGAGACCCCATCTCTTTAAAAAAAGAAAAAAGGCTGGGCATGGTGGCTCACACCTGTAATCCCAGGACTTTGGGAGGCTGAGGCGGGCAGATCACCTCAGGTCAGGAGTTAGAGACCAGCCTGTCCAACATGGAGAAACGCCCATCTCTACTAAAAATACAAAATTAGCCAGGCATGGTGGCCCATGCCTGTAATCCCAGCTACTAGGGAGGCTGAGACAGGAAAATCGCTTGAACCTGGGAGGTAGAGGTTGTGGTGAGCGAGATTGAGCCAGGCTGGGCAACAAGAGTGAAACTGTCTCAAAAAACAAAACAAAAAAAATCCAAAAAGGAATGCACAATTGGTTTAATATCAGAAAATCAACCTTGCAATTTACCACATTAACAGATTAAAAGATAAAAATGAGGCCGGGCGCAGTGGCTCACACCTGTAATTCCAGCACTTTGGGAGGCTGAGGCGGGCGATTGCCTGAGGTTGGGGGTTTGAGACCAGCCTGATCAACATGGAGAAACCCCATCTCTACTAAAAATACAAAATTAGCCATGCGTGGTGGTGCATGCCTGTAATCCCAGCTACTCCGGAGGCTGAGGCAAGAGAATCACCTGAATCCAGGAGGCAAAGGTTGCAGTGAGCCAAGACTGCACCATTGCACTCCAGCCTGGGCAACAAGGGCAAAACACCTTACCCAAAAAAAAAAGATAAAAATGATGCGATCATCTCAACAGATGAAGAAAAAAGTTTAGGGCTGGGTGTGGTGGCTTACACCTGTAATCCTTGCACTTTGGGCAGCTGAGGCAGACTGATCACTTGAGCTCAGGAGTTCAGGAGGGACCTGGACAACATGGCAAAACCCCATCTCTACAAAAAATACAAAAATTAGCCAGACATGGTGGCTCCCACATGTAGTCCCAGCTACCCCAGAGGCTGAGGTGGGAGGATTGCTTGAGCCTGGAAGGCAGAGGTTGCAGCCAGCAGAGATCACACCACTGCACTCCAGCCTGGGCAACAGAGAGAGACTCGGGGGGAAGGTAGAGGGGATGCTTAACCAATTTTAACATCCTTTCCTGTTTTTAAAAAAATACTTTTTTTTTAAAGCTATAGCTGGTTTTTTTTTTTTTTTTTTTGAGATAGAGTCTTACTCTTGTTGTCCAGGCTGGAGTGCAGTGGTGTGATCTCAGCTCACTGCAATCCCTGCCTCCCAGGATAAGGCAATTCTCCTGCCTCAGCCTCTCAAGTAGCTGAGATTACAGGCACCCACCACTACGCCCGGCTAATTTTTGCATTTCAGTAGAGACAGAGTTTCACCATGTTGGTCAGGCTGTTCTCAAACTCCTGACCTCAGGTGATCTGCCCACCTCAGCCTACCAAAGTGCTGGGATTACAGGTGTGAGCCACCACACCTGGCCAAAGTTACACTTTCAACACAAATAGGAGACTCTAGACTCAAAGATTAAGCTTGATTTATAAAACACTGTTACAGCCAAACTCTTGGTTATTGACACATTAAGTTACTGGTTCCAGGGACCAGGTGCAGTGGCTCACGCCTGTAATCTCAGCACTTTGGGAGGCTGAGGCCGGTGGATCACTTGAGGCCAGGAGTTCAAGATCAGCCTGGGCAACAGGGTGAAACCTCTGTCTCTACTAAAAATACAAAAAATTTTGCTGGGTGTAGTAGCATGCTCCTGTAATCACAGCTACTCGGGTGGCTAAGACAGAATACCTTGAACCCAGGGGGCGGAGGTTGCGGTGAGCTGAGATGGCACCACTGCACTCCAGCCTGGACAACAGAGAGAGTGAGACTCCATTTCAAAAAAAAAAAAAAAAAAAAAAGTTACTGGTTCCAAACTGTGTACCTGGCACCCAAGGGTGCTGCAGCATACTCACAGTGGTGTCCTGGGATATTTAAAAATTTTGAGAGATGCATGGCAATTCTGAACATCTGCCAGGTACTGTATAAACTACTACCTCAAAATAGTACCATGTGCATTACATTAGTTTTAATAACATCACTGTAAAGATAAATTTTTCACAGTTGCTGTGATAAAAAACAAGTACTTTTGTTAAAGTGGTACAGGAAATGAGGGTGGCAGGGTATAAACTGATTCCAAAGTTTGGGAAGTTGTGCAGTGTCCAACAGGCATATATCCAAATGAGTGTGATTATTTAAGAATAAAATTTTCAAAATCATCTTTTCCTTCAATTGATGTATTTTTTTAAACGGCTACTAAGTTTGTGACATAGGTACTTAATGTTTGGACCCAACAACCACTGTACTCAATAAATAGAACTGTTAAGTATTTTTTTTTTTATCTAAGGGTGCCATGCATCAAGAAAGTTTGAGAACCACTAATCTAAATAATCTGTAGAACTTCAAACAGGCAGAGAATATGTGACAAAGACCATGTAGGCTGCAAAGCCTGAAATATTTACTCTGGCTCTTTCCCCACTCCTGCATTTATAAAAGCAATATCTAGAGTTACTATTTTCCAGGACTATAGGAGGATAAGAGTGAAATGATAGACTATAGACCTGTGCTGTCTAATACAGTAGTTACATTTAAATTAATTAAAATAAAATAAAATAAAATAAACCAGGCATTGTGGCTCATGCTTGTAATCCCAGCACTTTGGGAGGCAGTGACGAGTGAGTCACCTGAGGTCGGGAGTTCGAGACCAACCTCACCAACATGGTGAAACCCTGTCTCTATTAAAAAATAATAATAAAATAAAATTTTAAATTCAGTTCTCCAGTCACAAAAATCACATTTCAGGTGCTCCATAGTCCCATGTGGCTAATGGATACCATGTTGGAGTGCAGATATAGCATTACCATTTTCACAGGAAGTCCTACTGGACAGCACTGCTTTACTGTCAATATCTAGAGTTAGTATTTTTTACAGTCTATTGTTTAACATCGAACACATCCATAATTCTACCATTCCAAACATTTTAATTTAATTTACATGTATTTATCATCTTGTAAACATTTCCAGCCATTCAAAGTCAGAATTATACTGCATTGAACCCAACCGTTAATTGCCAAAATTTTATCATATATTAACTCCTATCTCTGTAAATCATCTCTCCAAGGTCCACCTCAAACACGGTCTTCTCCAAGAATCTGTCTCCAAAAGCATCAAATAAGATTTCCCATTTCTGTGCTCCCACACTACTTCAGAATGTCCTATAATCTTCTACGTTCTGTCTTGTATTATAGTTATTTGTGTATACTAGTTATTTTCCTTTCTGGACTGTAAACCCCTCTAGGTTTGGGACCCTGTATCATTTGTCCCCAGCCCTATCACAAGATAACGAACCCAATAAGTCAACCTAAGTGAAAACTTCAATCTTAATATCCACACTGGAAGTAAGAGTCTCCTTGGTCTTCATCCACATCCTTCACCTATTAATGCCTATTAAACCTATCTGTAAAATTCCAATTGGCAATATTTTTCTCCCCTTAAACGTGAGTAAACACCACCAAGAATAGGGGCTTAAATCCTGAGGAATAATGAACAGAGGAGGATTTTTTAAAAACTAATGTGCGGCGTACTAATATTTACTTTATTTGTTAATACTATTATATCTGCAGGAAATGAAAACTCTGTTACGTGCTGCCGGCACTCTGAGCAGACACCTTAAACCACAAAAGGCTGAGAATTTTAAAATCACTCATGGGTGTCATTTAGAGCCAAGAAAAGCTTAAGTGAGAAATACAAACAGCCGAGAGGTCCCTAGGGAAGAGCGGTAGGGGTGCAAGAAGAGTTCGCGAGCCCTAACAGAAGACAGCAAGCAGGACGGAGCCGAAGGGGAGCCGAGAGAGCGACGGACTCGCAACCTGAGCCGGGTGGCCGGAGGGGCCCAGGTGCGGTCGGAGAAGTGCTAGGGAAAAGGAAGGCGGCACGACGTGCAAGCCGAAAAGAGGAAAAAGCCCAGGGCTCGGCCGGGGACAGAGGGGTCTACTCACCCGGCGCTCACAGAGGCCGCCAGGCTGAGGGAGCGTCCCCCACCTCCCACCGCCGGAACTTCGGGAGGTCCAGACAAAACCCGAAGCCTTCCCTGGAGCCCAGAACTAAAGGGTCACTCTCCTTACCTGCAGCGGCTCACACGCCCGACAAATTTTGTGCAGACTTGTCTGGGGGTCTACACGCTTCTCAGAGCGGAAAGTCACCGCCGCCTCTCGCCTTCACCCCACAACGCCCAGCTTGCCTCAGTGAAGTATTCAAATCTAACCGCCTAGGTGTTGCGCACGCGCAAAGCAGCTCTACGCTTCGGCTCCGCCCCTTAGGCGCCGGACGAACCACTTTTCTAAGACTGCTTAAATCAAACTAGGTTCCAAGCCTCCGTGCCAATTTCATTTGCTTCAGGTTTATCTCATTTTCGACCGAATTTCCCTTGCCCCTCCCCAGTGCAGGCCTTCCTCACAATCATGGGAGCCGCCATTTTCTTTCGATTGCTTGCTGTGGAAATTTTTGAACCTCGGCTTCCGTACAAAATGGCGGCTTCCATAACATTGCGTCACATCCCCTTGATATTACTCCCTATAGCAATCAGGAAACAGTAAGCTTCTGGGACGAGGTGGCCGAGTGGTTAAGGCGATGGACTGCTAATCCATTGTGCTCTGCACGCGTGGGTTCGAATCCCATCCTCGTCGATATGTGTGTTTTTTTTTTTTTTCTGCTTT